GAGGCACTTAGGGACATGGTTTAGTGGGCATGGTGGTGTTGGGTTAACGGTTGGACTCGATGATCTTAGAGGTCTCTTCCAACCTTAATGATTCTATGATTCTATGATTCTATGATTAGCAGATCTGATTTAACAGATAGACACACAGCCTTTTGATGGAAGCTCTAGCTTATACCTGGACATGGGCTGATCTGTGCCTGAGACTTTGCATTGCACAAGTTGTGGAATATACGCATCCCGACACAGGAATTAGACTGCTTGTGTTACCACCCAGCAAACACAGACAGAGGAATGATGCTTGTGTTGCAGAGTGTGTTGCTCTACATCTTCAGGATTCTTTCTGCAGTTCCTATGAAGCTGCTAGTGCATCATCATCAATGTGACAGCCCGCGGCTTGGGCTGTCAGTGATGGTGGAATTAGTGATGTGCTCTAACATTGTTCTCCTCTCTTTGTTTTCTTCCTCCAGAAATTTCGAATCTGTAGGAGGGAGAAACATAGGGCACTGGTATAAGGTTTTCTCTGTGATTGATCTCCTAGAGATTGTTTTAGTCTTCACAGCTACTAAAAACTTTTTCTACATCTGTGTTGACAAAGTAGCCACACCATTCTGAATGCTGAGTTTGTCTTATAGAAGCTGTATTATTTCCTGTTAAAAATCACTAATATACCTTCCTGACAGACAACTGAGGTGTGATAAGCAAAATGTATCATAAAGGCAGTAGAAAAGGATGGAAAAGCAAATGTCTGATGATTTTAACTGTGAGAAGAAAAAAAACAAATAAGATTTGCTCACCTATCTCAGGACAAAATGGCTTGCAGATAGTAATGGAACAAACACTACTACCAAAAGGCATGGTCCTGCCTGCCTGAAGATACAAAGCACAGATAGACATAGTGCTACAGCATGTATGGTTTCTGTAAATGTGTTTTGAATGTCATTAGTATCTTCTTTCCCATGCCATTTTAAGCACTGCAGTTGAATATACTTTGGGGAACAACAGTCTGCTGCTGTTTCTGAGAATCCCAGATAAGCACCAGTGAATCCCTTACCAGAGTATTACATGAGATTCAAACACTGGGGTGTTTTCCCAGAATTTTAATCAGTGCTTGTTTGTTTTCTGCATACTTAAAGACGCTCACAAAGCTGTAGATAGTCCGGCTGCTTTCAGAGCGCTCTGTTAGAAAATCCCAGCTCTTAACCTTATTTGCCAGCTGTGTTGCAGCAAACAACCAACCTTTCCTAAAATTATGAAGCAAATGAACAGTGAACAGAATAAGAGATGATCCCAAGGGTCAAAAAGAAGTGTGAAAGTAAAATGTATTGACAAAATGAGCTGGAATGAGAATGCTGCAGTCCAGCTTCCAACTTTCCTGTAGTGCTGGCCTGGAGGAATTTCAGAGAAAAGGCAGAGTGAAAGACATTGGGGTTGGGTTTTTTGGTTTGTTTGGGGGTTTTTTAAGTCTGTTTTAACAGACTGTACTGCATTTCTTGCCTTTATCAGAGGCTTACAGCAGACGGTGAGATTACTTAAATATTCCACTCAGAAGTTCACTGTGTCAAAAGCGTTGTTCTGCTGTAAAAGTAACAATAAAAAAGGGACATCATGTGTGAGATGAAAGTAGGAGGGAATTCCTTTGTTTGTATTTTTGATACTGTGTGTATATAATAGTAAAATGGAAAATCCTTAGTCCCAGTGCAGAATCCGTATGTCCTGCAACCACTAGATTAAAAAAAAAAAAGCTATATATAAAATTATACATGATCTGAGAACTGACAGTGTGCCCTACTTGTGTGTATTGCAATGTCCTTTGAGTCATTAGGTTCTTGGCCAGCCATGAAGAACAGTAGCTGTACGTGTTTCACACATTTTTATAGCATTGCCCAGTAGTTGAATTTGGAAGGGGCCTTTGGAGGTCATGTGGTTGACCTCCCTCCTCAAAGTAGGGCCAGCGTCGCAGTTAGATCCACTTTTGAAATTGCAGGTTGCTCAGGGCAACTCATCTGAGTGAGTGCTGAGTGTTTCCCTGTCTGGAGATTCAGCAGCCTGCTCCAGTGCATGATCATCCTCACAGTTAAAACTTCTGTTCTTTGTATTGAATAGGAATTTCCCTTGGTCCAGCCTATATGTTCATTGCCTCTTGTGCTTTTTTGAGCATTTTTGGGATGAGTCAGGCTCTGTCTTCTCTCTAACTACTACTTAGGTGGCTGAAGACAGCAGTTAGATCCCTCCTTAGCCTTCTCCCAGCTAAATGAACTGAATTCCCTCAGGTTCTTCTCATATGTCGTATGCTTTAGAACCCTAATTGTTTTGGTGGACCTTTGCTGAACTCACTCCAGTTTGTCACTGTTTTTCTTGTACTAGGGAGCCCAGAAGTAGACACACTACTCCATTTTCTTCAGTGACCTGAGTTGAAAAACTTCTATTTGACTCCAAGACAGCTGGAAAACTCCCCTGTATTTCCAACATACAAAGGGTGCATACTATTGATACATTATCTGCCAATAAGATGTATAAACAAAAAGAGCAGTCGATGGTATGAGCTAAAAATGTTCTACCTACTTCTTTGAAGATATAGTCAGGAAACTGCATGAACATATGTGTTTGAGGAAAAGTCATGTTGGTGGCAGGGCCACACTGCCTGAGCAAAACTGTATCCATTCCAAGTTTTCAAGTTGCAAGTTGTTCTCAGAAACGCATCTATTATAAGAAATTTGCATTGAGAAAAGTCTAAATTATTCTCTTTTCACAGGTCTTCAAATCCTTGTAGGGGGATATAGTCATGCCCATGTGCTCACCTTTCTCAGTCATGCCTTCTTGAATCTTTTGCTAGTAAGATGTTCTACCTATTCTTTGCCACTCTTGCATCTTTACTACGGCATTTCCACAATGAAGGCTGTCAGGCAGCTTCTGTAGCTCTCTGTACTTATTTAAGAGCGTCTTTTCCAGCCAATCTGATGGAGACCTAAAACCGAAGTTGTTGACCTAGTTAATGCAATGTCCACAGTGAAAGGTTTGAGCAAAGAAAGAGCTAATGATCTCTTGAGATATGGTCCACCTGTGAACTTCTGTGTATTCCCTTTTTATCTCTGTGTCTTAAAAAAAATGAAGCAAAATGCAAAACTGGAGGGAGTTTCAAGAAAGTTGCTCATTTTTGTTCTATTAAAAGGTTGAAAGGGAGACTGAGTAAAAAATATAGTACTTCTAGAGGAATTATGGCTAAATTAGGAAAATCTGTAAATGCAGTACCTGTCCAAAAAGTATGTTTTAGCTGATGGGAATGGTAGCTCAAAAGCTGATCATACCTGCCATGCTCAAGCCTAACAACTGTCCTTGTACAGTATATTCTATGCGGTTATTGCAATACAGCGGTAAGTCTTCTGCCAGAAAGCCCTCAAAAGAAAGGGTTCATATTGGGAATCTCTTCATGGAGACTTTTGTTAAACTATCACTTATACAAGTGATTACACACTAGATACACTAGTGTCCCTTTAGATTCCAGCTGATGACTGTGCAATACAGTGCTGGCGATGCCAGCTGGCTTCAGTCAGCCTTTCAGTGCACAATAAAGCACATGTGCATACCTAGGCACCTTTCCACATTTGAAACAGGTCACATTTGTAACATAACCATCTGCTAATAAAAAATGTGCAACTGTTTATACACAAGTCATTTTTGTCTTTCATAGCCACAGTGTGACTAAACAGAGTATTGGTAGATCAATAGGATATACCCTTGATTCTCCAGAAAATGCAAGTGCATAGCTGTATGCATTAGACAGCACAACAAACCAATACCTGAGATGCCATTTAGAATATCGGCAGTGTCATTTGCCCTGTCCCTCTAAATCTAGGTATCCGTGAAAACATGCATTAAACAAATGCTTCCAGTTTACTACCTTCTTCATTCCTTGATCATTGAAATAATGATGTAAACTGCTCTAGTAAATCATAGTATTGTGAAGACTGGACAGCAAATCCTCAGTACCGTTTGTGGGGTTTAGAGCATTTGAATAAAGTTTTTGGAGTGTGATTTGCTCTGTCTTTTGTACCTAGGAACACTAGAGACCAAATCCTCTGTGCTTCTTTATTTTGCTGTTCCAGAAAAAAAATAATTTTACAAGCTTAAATTCCCATACTGTGAGGGCATGGGGTCTTTCCACATTTCCTATGAACGCTGCTTTACACATTCCACATGCCAGAAGCATGAATAAGATTGGTATAAATACTGAGAGTAGAATAAAGGATCACTCTTATTCTGATCTGTGAAAGCATCTGAACATGTGCTAGGGGTTTACTAAAGTCAGCAAGAGTTAAATACATGCTTAAGACTTAACCAAGAAAATATTTGTCCTTGCTGAACTGGGAGCTCTGTGGTAAAAGGAATAGATTATACCCAACCCTTTGAGAATATTTCTCTGTGGTGTAACACTTCTTGCTTTGAAGAAAAAAGATGTAAGATACAACCTCAGTGCCTCATAGACTCCTTTTAGGGCATGTATATAAGAGTATCTTTAAAGCAAAAGCTACCCTTTTCTGATTTTAATGGGCTTACAGTGGCTGAAGTAACAAAATAAGGAAGTAAGAAAGACTGAAATCATATTTTTTAACATCAATTAATAAAAATGCTAATTTTCTCCTTGTTTTTCCCTGTATTTTTCCAGAATTTATTTTAAGGTTAAAGAAATACAAATATTGCCTCTTTTACGAGTTTGTCATTAATACACTTTTTTTATAGTCTACATTCCTATGTAGAAAACAGTTCCCGAAATGTTAAGTATGTGTTTAAATACTGTCTGTTCAACAGATTCTTTATCTCTCAGGTTAAAAAAAGATGAAATAATCTTCATCTGCAAATATATGATCTTTATCAAAATGCATTGCTTCTTAATTAGAATGTTGTTTTGTTCTGACCACCAGATGGTGTAAATGTCTGCAGGTATGTATGTCTGCATAGGAATGTAATGGCACAGTTATAAATATTATTTTTCTGACCAACAGATATTTCCTGGACTGATTCTCTCAGACATTAAGCCTGCCAAAAGAATGAAGTTCAAGACAGTCTGCTACCTGCTTGTTCAGCTCATGCACTGTCGTAAGATGTTCAAAGCAGAGATCCCTTTCTCAAATGTCATGACGTGTGAGGATGACGATAAGGTAATCCATGTGGGCTCTTTGGGCATTGGTTCCAGGGCCGCATCAAGCAGACCTGCTCTGAGAAAATATGGGGTGACCTGATCAACTGATAGAGGAGTTTCTGGTGTTCCTGCTGGAGCTAGAGCTATCTAATGCCCACAGCCTTCTCACAGTAAAGACAAAACTTAATTATAACAGGCCTTAAATTTGGAGCTCCTCTTGAACAAGCCAGCACAGGTGGCCTACATGGCTTCTATTAAGGGTTTCCTTCACAGGAATTAGTTTCTGAGGCTTCTTCTGCAATTACCAAGGGCTGTTCTTTTGCATCATGAGTCCATCACAGTCTGAAGCTGATGGCAGCAAATGCAAAATAACAGAATAATTTTGTATCTCTAGATGGTTCTCTAAAAAATGAAAGGCGACTGATTAGCCAAAAAACCTCTTAGTCCCTAATACAAATCCTAAATACAAAAGTCCCTAATACAAATATGAATACCGCTTTCTTGAATGGCTTGTAATGACATAACTCAAAATTGCTTTATATACTAGTAGCCTGGTTTACTTCCTTTTCTGTGTGTGGATCTACCCAGAAATTCATGGAGAAAAAACCTTTGAAGAGTTGCTCATTCAGTTTTCTTTGCCAGCAGGTGGCAATATTACATAGGTCACTCCACCAGTGCTCCAGGGCACTGGTGTGCATTGGAATCAGTAATTCATCTTGAATGATTGCTCCACTTTTTTTTTTTGTCCTTAAATAATGTACATTTATTGATGATTCAGTCTAAATCTTTCTTACTTACATTCTAACTTTTATATTTTGGATTTTACGTGTGCTTGTGTTTCTTCTGCGGAAAAAAGGGAGAAAAGTCTGTTAGTTCCTTTAAAACAGTTTCAGTGAAAACTTTCAGAAACTCCAGACTTTATTTTGAAATTGGCCATGTACAAGGCCTTCCAATTGTGAATTAGTACTGTTCTTTGAGTATTTAAAAAAAATAACCCACACATTCTTTGAAGCATATGCAATACTTTACGATGTGTCTTGTGTATATATATGTATAAATATGGTAGTATATGCAGAAAATCCCAATATGGGTTTGCTAGGGATCTGATGAAAATTTTCTCGTGTCAGAACATTTGCAGTGAAGTTCTACAATGGTATCTTTAACTGAACCAGTTGTTCTGAGCTTTTGTACCTAATACGTAACATTTATTGTGGAGCATGATATATGATTTTAATATAAATACACTGTGTTTCAATGCAGGGTTTCTTCAGAGATATCGGTCCTCAAATCATGTAAAATAAGCTATGGCTATAAAGGCTTTGAAGCTAGCACATTACTGTAGCATGAATTCATTTATTTAATTTCTGAGAAATATAAATACTGGATCTTGATCACATATAAGACATAATGTAAGTCTACTGTATGAAATAATAATAGAGATAAAAATAAGAGACCTAATGAAAATAATTATATGTGAGCAACAGCTATTTGGATTAAGCACAGTAACTTTAACCCTATTTCAAAATAGCAGAATAGATAATATAATTTATTCCATATATCAGAATAACTCCCATTGTCTACCCTCATTCCAGATTTTAAAGCAAAGAAGCATTTTCTTTTTTTTTTTTTAAGGCTGTTTTGTTCCCCCTATTACTATGCTATAGGCTTAAATTTGGATTATAAAAAATACCCAGAGATGTACTTTCTGCTGCACCTTAAGCAATACATATGCTAACTAATTGTTGTTTATCTTTATGAAGAGCAAAATTGCATATTCCTGACAATATTCCTGAAAGCACTCAGTTTCCCTAC